CATAATGTTTGATTGTGTTGGATATTTGTTGATGATGGGTGGTCGAATGGACGTGTCCATAATCTAATTCCCTCAGTAGACATTCTGTGGGATTCGCTGATGGACTAAATGAATGAATGGACCGTTGAGTCGATAGATGTAAATCGCGACGGAGACGGTGCACAGTTATATCTTTATGACGGGCGGTTGTTTTGTGTCGATGATGAGTTGTCAGTTGGTATTGTGTTTGTGCTTGTGTATGCTCGGTGGTTTTGAAGTGAACTTGTTGACGAGTGTTTGATTATGATGGGATTGAAGAGTTTTGGTTGTGTGTGAGTGTTTGTCTAGTGTAAGTGAGCACACTCCGGAGGTCGAGATAGTAATTTATCCTTGTCCAAACTGAGTAGTGCAACATTGAGTATTCCACTGTTGTTTTGCTGTCAGTGGTGTCCATTCACGGAATATCACAATGGTTGTGTCTGTGTATAGTGAGTTGAATTTTTGTGTGCGACCTGGAAGTAATAACTGATGTGTGTTGTCGATCGCTCCATGTGTAGACGCGGAGCTGAATAGTGTAGTGATTTATGGATGGTGTTGTTGTTATTGTTATGTATGTGTTTGTGATGGTGATCTTGGTGGTGTTAGCTGTGTAGAGGTGTCATTTTGTCTTGTAATAGCCGTGTAACACTGACTGGTTGTGCTAATAAGTTCTGTAGTTATGATGTGGCAGTGAGAGTGGAGAGTTGGACGATTGTGGTGACAATACACTTTGAATAGTGTTAGTTGTGGTAGATGTGCATCGAGATATCTGTAGTTTTGACTTAGAACGATGATGTTGGCAAATGGACTATATTGATAATTAGCGTTATTTGTTCCTTTTTTCCAATCGGAAATGAGTGGTTGGTGAATTTCTGAGATTGTGTAAGACAGTAGTTATTGGCTGACCGAGTAGAGTTTGTGTTTGTGTGATGTAGTTGTATGTTGTATCATGTGCGGATGTTGTTTTCGGATAGTAATGTTGGGACTTTATTGGCGTGATAAATTGGTTGTATTCAATTGGTGATATGCAGGTGTTTGCAGTGAGCTCACTTTCAACCCAGTTTACTCTGAGGGTTTGACACTGCGTAAACAACTGGTCCGTTTATACTTTTGTGTTTGTCTGAAACTGAACATGTATACTTTTAAATGTATGGCCGTATATTTATCTATACATATACATATATATATATATATATATATATATATATTTTTATATGTATATATATGTAAATGTATAATGTTTGCGTGTTTGAATATGGATAATTGTGTTAATTGGACGTTGTGAACGACTCACATAATGTTTGATTGTGTTGGATATTTGTTGATGATGGGTGGTCGAATGGACGTGTCCATAATCTAATTCCCTCAGTAGACATTCTGTGGGATTCGCTGATGGACTAAATGAATGAATGGACCGTTGAGTCGATAGATGTAAATCGCGACGGAGACGGTGCACAGTTATATCTTTATGACGGGCGGTTGTTTTGTGTCGATGATGAGTTGTCAGTTGGTATTGTGTTTGTGCTTGTGTATGCTCGGTGGTTTTGAAGTGAACTTGTTGACGAGTGTTTGATTATGATGGGATTGAAGAGTTTTGGTTGTGTGTGAGTGTTTGTCTAGTGTAAGTGAGCACACTCCGGAGGTCGAGATAGTAATTTATCCTTGTCCAAACTGAGTAGTGCAACATTGAGTATTCCACTGTTGTTTTGCTGTCAGTGGTGTCCATTCACGGAATATCACAATGGTTGTGTCTGTGTATAGTGAGTTGAATTTTTGTGTGCGACCTGGAAGTAATAACTGATGTGTGTTGTCGATCGCTCCATGTGTAGACGCGGAGCTGAATAGTGTAGTGATTTATGGATGGTGTTGTTGTTATTGTTATGTATGTGTTTGTGATGGTGATCTTGGTGGTGTTAGCTGTGTAGAGGTGTCATTTTGTCTTGTAATAGCCGTGTAACACTGACTGGTTGTGCTAATAAGTTCTGTAGTTATGATGTGGCAGTGAGAGTGGAGAGTTGGACGATTGTGGTGACAATACACTTTGAATAGTGTTAGTTGTGGTAGATGTGCATCGAGATATCTGTAGTTTTGACTTAGAACGATGATGTTGGCAAATGGACTATATTGATAATTAGCGTTATTTGTTCCTTTTTTCCAATCGGAAATGAGTGGTTGGTGAATTTCTGAGATTGTGTAAGACAGTAGTTATTGGCTGACCGAGTAGAGTTTGTGTTTGTGTGATGTAGTTGTATGTTGTATCATGTGCGGATGTTGTTTTCGGATAGTAATGTTGGGACTTTATTGGCGTGATAAATTGGTTGTATTCAATTGGTGATATGCAGGTGTTTGCAGTGAGCTCACTTTCAACCCAGTTTACTCTGAGGGTTTGACACTGCGTAAACAACTGGTCCGTTTATACTTTTGTGTTTGTCTGAAACTGAACATGTATACTTTTAAATGTATGGCCGTATATTTATCTATACATATATATATATATATATATATATATATATATATATATATATATATATATATATTTTTATATGTATATATATGTAAATGTATAATGTTTGCGTGTTTGAATATGGATAATTGTGTTAATTGGACGTTGTGAACGACTCACATAATGTTTGATTGTGTTGGATATTTGTTGATGATGGGTGGTCGAATGGACGTGTCCATAATCTAATTCCCTCAGTAGACATTCTGTGGGATTCGCTGATGGACTAAATGAATGAATGGACCGTTGAGTCGATAGATGTAAATCGCGACGGAGACGGTGCACAGTTATATCTTTATGACGGGCGGTTGTTTTGTGTCGATGATGAGTTGTCAGTTGGTATTGTGTTTGTGCTTGTGTATGCTCGGTGGTTTTGAAGTGAACTTGTTGACGAGTGTTTGATTATGATGGGATTGAAGAGTTTTGGTTGTGTGTGAGTGTTTGTCTAGTGTAAGTGAGCACACTCCGGAGGTCGAGATAGTAATTTATCCTTGTCCAAACTGAGTAGTGCAACATTGAGTATTCCACTGTTGTTTTGCTGTCAGTGGTGTCCATTCACGGAATATCACAATGGTTGTGTCTGTGTATAGTGAGTTGAATTTTTGTGTGCGACCTGGAAGTAATAACTGATGTGTGTTGTCGATCGCTCCATGTGTAGACGCGGAGCTGAATAGTGTAGTGATTTATGGATGGTGTTGTTGTTATTGTTATGTATGTGTTTGTGATGGTGATCTTGGTGGTGTTAGCTGTGTAGAGGTGTCATTTTGTCTTGTAATAGCCGTGTAACACTGACTGGTTGTGCTAATAAGTTCTGTAGTTATGATGTGGCAGTGAGAGTGGAGAGTTGGACGATTGTGGTGACAATACACTTTGAATAGTGTTAGTTGTGGTAGATGTGCATCGAGATATCTGTAGTTTTGACTTAGAACGATGATGTTGGCAAATGGACTATATTGATAATTAGCGTTATTTGTTCCTTTTTTCCAATCGGAAATGAGTGGTTGGTGAATTTCTGAGATTGTGTAAGACAGTAGTTATTGGCTGACCGAGTAGAGTTTGTGTTTGTGTGATGTAGTTGTATGTTGTATCATGTGCGGATGTTGTTTTCGGATAGTAATGTTGGGACTTTATTGGCGTGATAAATTGGTTGTATTCAATTGGTGATATGCAGGTGTTTGCAGTGAGCTCACTTTCAACCCAGTTTACTCTGAGGGTTTGACACTGCGTAAACAACTGGTCCGTTTATACTTTTGTGTTTGTCTGAAACTGAACATGTATACTTTTAAATGTATGGCCGTATATTTATCTATACATATACATATATATATATATATATATATATATATATATATATATATATATATCTATTTTTATATGTATATATATGTAAATGTATAATGTTTGCGTGTTTGAATATGGATAATTGTGTTAATTGGACGTTGTGAACGACTCACATAATGTTTGATTGTGTTGGATATTTGTTGATGATGGGTGGTCGAATGGACGTGTCCATAATCTAATTCCCTCAGTAGACATTCTGTGGGATTCGCTGATGGACTAAATGAATGAATGGACCGTTGAGTCGATAGATGTAAATCGCGACGGAGACGGTGCACAGTTATATCTTTATGACGGGCGGTTGTTTTGTGTCGATGATGAGTTGTCAGTTGGTATTGTGTTTGTGCTTGTGTATGCTCGGTGGTTTTGAAGTGAACTTGTTGACGAGTGTTTGATTATGATGGGATTGAAGAGTTTTGGTTGTGTGTGAGTGTTTGTCTAGTGTAAGTGAGCACACTCCGGAGGTCGAGATAGTAATTTATCCTTGTCCAAACTGAGTAGTGCAACATTGAGTATTCCACTGTTGTTTTGCTGTCAGTGGTGTCCATTCACGGAATATCACAATGGTTGTGTCTGTGTATAGTGAGTTGAATTTTTGTGTGCGACCTGGAAGTAATAACTGATGTGTGTTGTCGATCGCTCCATGTGTAGACGCGGAGCTGAATAGTGTAGTGATTTATGGATGGTGTTGTTGTTATTGTTATGTATGTGTTTGTGATGGTGATATTTCTTTTTATAGCTGGTCTATGAATCACTGTGTAACCCACACTGATTCCTATGGTAATTGGTACTTTAGCTAACGTGTCCTTATTATTTATGGTTGTCTTTTTGTTTTGTATATTTTTTACGTTCGGTATAGTTTGATGTTTAGTTTTCTGTTCGTTTCCTCTTTGTTATTTTGCTTGGTGTTTACAAGAAATAAGTCCGTATGTTCAAATTTTAGCTGATCTCTTTTCGATGTGCAACGTTTAATTTCATTAACCCTCTCAACATTTTCTTATGACAATCATTTTTGTTTACTATTTCAAATGTTTCTCTCAATTGTATTATTCAATCGAATAAATTGTTTTCATTTATTGTTTAGTTTCTTTTTTTATGCTGACAGGTTGTTTGTACTTTACCTAATATTGTTTGAAATTTTTCATTTTGATTGTTTTCAGCCTGTTATGAGTTCACGTTGGCGGTTATTAGATTTCAACTTGGATATATGCTATCGTTTACATCTTTCTTTTTGGTGTAACGTCAATCATGCTGAAGATATTCAATCAAAAATGCTTGCAAAAGAGCTTCCTACTCTTGAAAATGCTTCCCTTTTTTTTGTCAACAGCGATATCATCATAGATGTAGTTCAGGTTGGCATGTATTATTTTTAAATTTTAAATATGTTAATGCTTATTTATATTGTCTATATAATAGCCATTTATACGCTTAGTATGCATGGGCAACTGGTCGGTTGTTACCCGTGCATCTGTATATAATATATATATATATATATATATATATATATATATATATATATATATATATATATATATATATAGTATTTCAACTCGTTTCTTTGAATTTTTTACAGGGTTTTATAATATAACCAAAATTTCTTAAATTTTCCCAGCGTTTTTTTAAATTTTTATAATCTTTAAAAGGTCAGCAACGAAAAGAGAAAAAGCCTCATCGTTAAGGTTATCCAAAATGGATACATAGTGTAGGTTCAGCGAACTCCGATAAGTTCATTCATTTGTTTTTGATCAATGGATTGAAAAATGCAATCAAAAATCAATTTTTAAGAATTGCAGTTTTATCCTTAATAATTCAAAGATCCATCACTCCAATATTACTAGAACCTTTTTTGATAAAAACAGAATAAAGGTTATCATTTTGGCCCCTTATAATTATATTCTTAATCCAATTGAATCTGCATTTCCAAAAAATTAAATCCATTGTAAGTAGATCACTCGCAATCGGATTTAATGAATCATTTACAAATCTTACATATATATTCAATTCTGTAAATCAATTAACCACAAATGATTTACGAGGTTATTCGAGGCATATACGTCGCAATTGTTTAAAAGCGATCGTTAAAGAAGACTTCAAGTAGAAAATAGCACTCTTTTTATTTTTAAAAAAAATTTTAAAAAACGCCGTGAAAATGTTAAAAAAAATTTCTGGTTATTTTAAAAACTATGTTAAAAATTTAAAAAACGATTTGAAGTACTATCTTTATATTTTAAATTCATTTATAAATAAAATATCTATTTGGTGAGAGTCTCTTAAGAGTCGTCTAGTTTTTAATCATACAGATAAACACATTTGATGGCGTTAATTTTTCATTTCATAGGTGATGATATATATATATATATATATATATATATATGCATGTATATTTAACAGTAATAAAGTAATTTTGTTTTGATTGTCATATTGTTCATGTTTGTCAATTTATTTTTTGGGCTAATAATAGTAGTGAATAATATGAAGTTGTATCTAGTATTTAGTTGATTAAATCATTCAACTTCACTTTATACATCAATGGTTCCCACTACTGTTACTTATATCTTCAGTTTTCAATCTTGTATGATGTGTTTCAGTATTCATCTTCTCACCATCCGAATCTATAATGCATATATAGATACTGTCAAATGATGATGTATCATATTTTTCTCTTAACATTAAAATACGTAAGATAATATTTTCTAAAGTTACATTTCAATACATAACGGCAATTAAGTGACAAGCAGCCATGATCATGCATTTACAAAGTTTGTAAATAATTTAGAAGTAATCCTCAGTGTCCGAGTGAATTTTGTCATGGCCAATGGAGTTAATTGGTGTCGCAAACAGGGCAATTACTGAACAACAGCATTGAAAGACGGTAGAGATCGACACCATCATATCTTCCCACCACACAAATCATTTGATTTGTTTGTGAGCTCGAATGCTTGCCGAGTGCCAAAATCGATGTAGGTGCTTCTCATGGATATCACTTCCGGAACCTTCGACTTAGATGTCTAATCCACAAAGCAATCGAACATGGTTGGAGGATGTTTGTCGATAACCAACAATAGGTTCGTGCACCATTTGTTCCTTCAGGTTTGGAATCATGGTATTCCAGCTCATTAAGCTCGATCCTCCACACCCACCGATACGGCTTAATCTCCGAATATTCGCTTTAAGAGTAATTCGAGATTCAGAATAAACTCTCCACTCTATCGTTCCAGGGCATTTGAGAGCATTGAAGCACTAAATGCCAGCTCAGTAGCTAAACACTCGTCATAACAGCTGCAAGTCCTGGCTTCGCTCTCTGGTTCAGTCGTGAATATCTACTGATAAGAACTATTATCCCAGAACGAATTTCCTACTCAATACCTTCCTATTGTCATTAGTTGCATCTAGCTTTAATGGCTTACGTTTCTGCAATGTAGCACAATTTATAAGGATTTAATTATTAGAAACTGATATTTTTCTTGATTTTAATTTTGAACAGTGAACACAGCTTATACGCTAATAAGTATTGCATCTTTATATTATTTGGTGATTTCAAAATTTTTGTTTGTTCACTTTTCTGTATGAACACCAATATCTGTTAAACAATTTTTGTTGTAATCTCTTGAAGATGATTGCTAAAAATATTAAGTCATCGGCTCTTTATCTGTTCACTATTTTTATTTGGAATATCTATGACTTAAAATTTTATAAATTCTATCAGTCTGGTAACAAGTTTTCTTGTATACTTAAACTTTTAGATCGAAGCAGCTGTTACTCAAGCTTTAATTCATTATAATGATAAATCTTCCGGTGGTATGTATACACGAGATTTAGCTACAGAGATTCTATATTGCCTCAGCCCGAATCGATCAATTAATCATGCACTGGAGACATTTGGAATTAAAGCATCTACCAAGGAATTGTTTGTAGGCATCATCTATTCTACAAAGTTTTATCAATCAAACGATGCAATTTTACAAGACTATTTATTAAAAATTGAAAATCTAATTCAAGGTACTATTTATACTGGTTCATTAATACAGTTGGTGAAAAATACTGATGCAGTTTGTAAAGAGTATGGAATAACAAACATTGAAAGGAATCCAATCAATCAGTCCGATGATCCTCATAAATCATTAATCGAGAGTATTTTAGGTCGTATGGCATCAAGAGATCTTTTAAGACCTTAAAATTGTAAATAATCAAATGATACAATTACAATGATGATAATTTCTATTTTGTATGAATTCATTGTATTATTTCATACGACACTGTAATTATGCATACGAAAATGAATATAGTTTTTTACTAACTTGAAACTAAGATTATTTACTGATAATTTTTTGTCTTCGGTTAAAACTATAGTTGTCAATGTTTCAAATAGTCCGGCATGACAATAAAGGAGACGGTTAATAGGATCTTAGTGGAACCGCTGAAGGGAAATTTAAGCAAGCAGTGATATTCAATTTCTGTTTTTCATAAGCTTTATAATTATACATCTGCATTGCTAAACCAGGATTAACACACCTGTCTTTTGCTTTAAGGGAAAGCAAAAATGTAAGAGTTTAACGGAGTGTATTACTGTCAATGATAATATTTAAATTCCATTCTTTTTAATCTATGATGTCATTTTTTTACAGAATCAGTTTATTCGCATGTGACAAATACCGTTTTCAAAAAGAACCGGTAAATAAATTGATCTGCTCATGAATAACAGTATTTTAGGCTAATCAGTTTAATTGTTGAAATATGAATTGAAACTTACCACTCATAAAAGAATTCCGGCCAATGATTTCTACTTTATTCTTGTGACAGAATATCACTTAACTTAAAGAATATTGCTCTTTTAGGATACTTAAAGTGTTACTTGAAAAAGATGGAAGTGTTTCAAAGTTAGATGTAAAGCTCCTAGTGAGTGAGGTCAGTTTCAGATGTTGTATTCAATCTTCGTCTATCGGTGTATCCGTAGATAAGTCATCTCATCACCGTATCAAGAGTTTACTTTGTAGTCGGAATTATGTGATTCTCAGTTTGACATCAAAAAATGCGCAGAAGCTGAAGATAACTGCTGCAGCGTTTAACTGAGTATGATTACAATAACAAATATTGGCAATCCTACAAAAATCGGTACACCATGCACTCAGAAATTATTAGAAGTAAGGATCGGTTACTGAATGTTAATAAGTAGTATAAACAGTACGTGAAAAATGAGATGAAAGTACAGGATGAAAATGAACTTAACAATATATATAGAATGTTGGACAAATTACACGTTTACTGCTATGTCTCTTTTATTCACTTATATAGTTATCGTTGTTTTTCCCTTCATCTCTCTCACTTGCTTGATATATAGAGTGCATTAAGCTGTAATCAAATTCCATGTATTTACACTTTACAGCTAATTGCAGATATTTTGAACACAAAAATTTATCTACTCGGATAATAATTTATTCAGCTTTTAGATATATATGAAAAATAGATTTAGTACTGCTATGAATGACCGTAAAAAATCTAATTTGATTCAGTTAAGATTAAATATCGATTTCAGTGTTAAACAACAATCGCCATCATTTTATAATGAAAAAAATCATTAAATGTTCTCACTAACGACTAGCTTCTTCAGGAAATTCACTGGTTTTCAGTGAGACATGACCAGTGGAGTTCCACCCTTTCGGGTGTTGGCAGTAACTACCGAAGACAGTGGGTTAGTTGTCACAAAGTCCTTAGATTGATCAGAGTTACATATTAGCAGCGCTAGATTCCGGCTCACTGGTCCAGAGGTTAAGTTTACGCGCGCAAGACCGAAGGTCCTGGGTTCGAATGCTATGATTAGAAGGAGTCGTGGATGCGCATTACTGATGAGTTCTATACCAGGACTAAACGGTAGTCCAGTGGTTCAAGGTTTCTAATAATGCTCTAACGATGAATAAATCACGATTTCAATTAAAAACAATGATCTCCATAGTTCTATAATAAAAAAATTAGTTAAGATTATCTACGAAATCATGCTAAACTTTCATTGCTATGTTAAAATTGTCAACTGGATTATTGATACACTAGTTTTCAATCAGCAGTAAAATGAAATTTATAGACATGAACATAAGAATCAATTAATAATGAGATTTTTTGACTAATGCAATCAAAGTATGAAAGTTGTTATCTATTTCTCACTTAATTAATTTCTCTTATTAAGTTTAACATTCCATTGAAGTTGATGTGACTTCGGATTTGATTAAATCAATAAGTGACTTTCTGTTGAGAAAAACGAATGCTCAAACGAAACCATAGTGACAATCATCATCACTGTCGATCAAAATTTTCAGTTCTGTCAATATTCATTGAATAATCTCATCCATTCATATTTGTCCCCATAGTAACCTAGGACAATATAATGTATCAAAATTTCTTTTAACTTAAGATTACGAATCATCACGTAAATATTGATTTCCAAAAAAATCTTTTATCGCGTTTGTACTCCCTAATCTTTTCAATAAATTGGTTTTTATTAATATTTCTTAAAAACATGCGTTATTTTTTTCGAAAATACCCATCAAACGTACCGTCTACTAATAAGTAGCTAAATCTTATAAAGATAATTTATTTTCCGTGCCATAAATAGTATAAATTTGAAAGAAATCAAAGTTTATGGCTAGTTTTTTTTTAATATACTCGCTTAACGTTTATAAATTATTTGTGGTTTGAAAAATGGCTATGAGAACGCCTATTTTTACATTTGTTTGTCACAAGGAATAAATATGAGTTGGAAAAGTTCACTGTAGTAGCAAACGCCTTTTTCGAAAAAAAACTGATTGTTCTTTCTACAAGAAGCTTGGTTAATCAATTATTTTGAGACTTTATAGGATCTAACAAATAATCTATATGCTTTATTTTGGTTTTCCTATCAGAAAAAAATTGTGCAATCGACTTATGCATTAACATTAGTTTTCTTGTTTGTAGAAAGAATTCATCTATGTTATAATAATACAACGGTTGAAATAAATACTTCTCTACATTACCTGGGACAGTTTGATCCTGCCTGTAAACTTATTGGAGAATAAATTGTTATGATTATTTTTTGAATAGTGATCGATCATTTGCATAACATTGTTCTACTTGAAATTATATGGAATACTTTTCATGAAACAATTATTTATCAGGCAATACCATACAACTCAGTAATTTCAGTTTGTATGAAGGAATGAATTATTATTTGTTTTAAGACTTAACTTTTCCGAATATCTATGATACACTTATTTAATGTTACGATAAGTTAATGACAGATTAGAATGTGAATATAGTGTGACAATTGTTTATCTTTAAGCTATACATTCTACTTATATCTGTCTACTCATATTGTCTATAACAGCGTGCGTTAATATTCACAAACACTGAATAACAAAGTCAACATTTATTTCATTTCACCGATCATTTATGAAACTAATTGGATGAGAAAAACTCTAGCCAAATGTAACAACTATAGAAATGTCATGAAACTTTCAATAGTCAAGATTTCTAAATTCTTAGGTTTATATTATTCAAATGGTATAAATAATCAGTTGATTTTTAGCAATTAACACATGCGATTAGCGGTTTATGCAACTCTCATAACGAGTATATTCACATAATAAGCTTGGAAATATTCTTTGCCAAAGTAATGAGCATTTGATTTGTTTCGTCATTTTTTTTATTATGAGTTTCTCAGTTAAAAAAGATTTTTTATATTCTAGTGTTGTATGATCGTGGTGTGTGCTACTTATATGAACGATGTAAGTAGTATAAGAAGGGACGCGAAAGAAGAAGTCTCACGGTCAGAAGAGGAAAACGGAAAGCAAATGGAACAAAAGCAAGAAGTAAATGGAGTACCAACAGGAAGGAAAGGAAGCAACAACAGGAATGGAAGAAGGATGGAGTGTTGGAAGTCACGACTCAAAGATGGTGTGCAAATAGAGTATTCAATGTAATGTTTTCGTTTTTAACTGACTTAGAGTGTAAATTTGCATAATACAACCTTCCTAGCCTGCCTCAGCCTTCTCATGATAACTAGTTTAATAGTAATATAACCACGTCAAGGTTCATTAATCCTATTTCTTGATTTTTGATTTACTTGAAATTGTACTATCTATTTTATTGAATTACTCAATGATTAGCGTTTGGGTTTTGAAAAAAAACTGAACAATAAGTAAATGCAATTAAGGAGTTTTATGGAGTTAACAACTAATATGTATATCTTCGAAACCATGAATTGATCAATGTTAGACCACCATTAGAAACTCCGAAGCACTGGACGGCCGTTTCGTCCTGGTATACGACTTACCAGCAGTGCACATCAACGACTCCTGCACCTCACACGATTCGAACCCATGACCTTCGGTTTTGTGCGCGAAAGCCTAACCACTGGGCCACTGAGCCGGTATTTAACGGTGTTAATGTCTAACTTGATCTTCACAACCCCGTAATAATAATATGTATATGTTTATTGACAAGAATTAAGTATATCCTAATTTTCACTTCCATGCTTCGGTTGCGAAATCGATCGAGAATTGTTAATACGCATTAAAAAACAGGTTAATAATTTCACATTAATACTTTCAGCGCTTATTAGGCACTAGTGTAAAATCATCCTGATCCAAAGTGATCAGTGTTACAACACTGAACTCTCAATAATTAAATTTTATTCAAAAGATTAGCCTATTAAAATAGATTCTAGCAATTTAAACTAGGTTAATTATAATCAAACATTAGATGCTTCTTATCAGTACTTACTATTATCAAATATATATTGCATAGCAATATCAAAATCATGTGCGAAAAAACTGATTTTTTTGGCTTTTACAATGAAAATTATTTTAATCACAATGATATTTAAATAATCTGACCTGTACTATCAGCGTTATTTCATTTTGATGCAATATTAACAATGCACTTATCTATATGCATTCATGCATATTATACGATTAGATGACGTTTTTAGTAGTATTTTGGCTAAATGCCAATTTTTTTCTATTCTCTCTCTCTCAAGAGGTCAGTCGATTCAATGCGATCAATAAAAGTATGATTTTAAAATAATAAAAAAAAGACGCATATTCTTCGTCCTAACCCTAACAAGCGTATCAATGTATGTCCATGTAAATACTTACACAAATATACATATATCTATATATCTGTATGTATCATCTACGCATGCATAGAGTTTGCAGGCAATAAGCTAAGTACCGTTTTTGTTACATTTTCTTAGACTAAACAAATTTAGTTACAGTGAGAAAAAAAAGTGAATAGAACAAGAAAAATGTTTTAAACAACATAAAAATTG